AAGTTATGACCAACATAGACAGCATATTAAGAAGTAGAGATGTTACTTTGCCAACACAGGTCCGTCTAGTCAAGGCTATGGTTTTTCCAGTAGTCATGTATGGATGTGAGAGTTGGACTATAAAGAAAGCTGAGCACCGAAGAATTGATGCTTTTGAACTGTGGTGTTAGAGTAGACTCTTGAGAGTCCCTTGGACTGCAAGGAGATCCAACCAGTCCATCCTAAAGGAGATCAGTCCTGTTGTTCATTGGAAGGACTGATGTTGAAGCTGCAACTCCAATAATTTGGCCACCTGATGTGAAGAGCTGACTCATTTGAAAAGACCCTGATGCTGGGAAAGATTGAAGGCAGGAGGAGAAAGGGACAACAGAGGATGAGGTGGTTCAATGGCATCACTGACACAATGGACATGGGTTTGGGTGGACTCTGGGAGATAGTGAAGGACAGGGAAGCCTGGTATGCTGCAGTGCATGGGGTGGTAAAGAGTCAGACATGACTTAGTGACTGAACAACATCAAAGGTGTAAAATTAGGTTGTTGGTTTGTGATGCCTTTTTTATTTTTTATTTTTATTTATTTTTTTTTTCATTTATTTTTATTAGTTGGAGGCTAATTACTTTACATCATTGCAGTGGTTTTTGTCGTACATTGAGATGAATCAGCCATGGATTTACATGCATTCCCCATCCCGGTCCCCCCTCCCACCTCCCTCTCCACCCAATCCCTCTGGGTCTTCCCAGTGCACCAGGCCCGAGCACTTGTCTCATGCACCCAACCTGGGCTGGTGATCTGTTTCACCCTAGATAATATAAGTGTTTCGATGCTGTTCTCTTGAAACATCCCACCCTCGCCTTCTCCCAGAGTCCACAAGTCTGTTCTATACATCGGAGTCTCTTTTTCTGTTTTGCATATAGGGTTATCGTTACCATCTTTCTAAATTCCATATATATGTGTTAGTATACTGTAATGGTCTTTATCTTTCTGGCTTACTTCGCTCTGTATAATGGGCTCCAGTTTCATCCATCTCATTAGAACTGATTCAAATGAATTCTTTTTAATGGCTGAGTAATATTCCATGGTGTATATGTCCCACAGCTTCCTCATCCATTCATCTGCTGATGGGCATCTAGGTTGCTTCCATGTCCTGGCTATTATAAACAGTGCTGCGATGAACATTGGGGTGCACGTGTCTCTTTCAGATCTGGTTTCCTCGGTGTGTATGCCCAGAAGTGGGATTGCTGGGTCATATGGCAGTTCTATTTCCAGCTTTTTAAGAAATCTCCACACTGTTTTCCATAGTGGCTGTACTAATTTGCATTCCCACCAACAGTGTAAGAGGGTTCCCTTTTCTCCACACCCTCTCCAGCATTTATTGCTTGTAGACTTTTGGATAGCAGCCATCCTGACTGGTGTGTAATGGTACCTCATTGTGGTTTTGATTTGCATTTCTCTGATAATGAGTGATGTTGAGCATCTTTTCATGTGTTTGTTAGCCATCTGTATGTCTTCCTTGGAGAAATGTCTGTTCGGTTCTTTGGCCCATTTTTTGATTGGGTCATTTATTTTTCTGGAGTTGAGCTGGAGGAGTTGCTTGTATATTTTTGAGATTAATCCTTTGTCTGTTGCTTCGTTTGCTATTATTTTCTCCCAATCTGAGGGCTGTCTTTTCACCTTGCTTATAGTTTCCTTTGTTGTGCAAAAGCTTTTAAGTTTCATTAGGTCCCATTTGTTTATTTTTGCTTTTATTTCTAAAATTCTGGGATGTGGATCATAGAGGATCCTGCTGTGATTTATGTCGGAGAGTGTTTTGCCTATGTTCTCCTCTAGGAGTTTTATAGTTTCTGGTCTTACATTTAGATCTTTAATCCATTTTGAGTTTATTTTTGTGTATGGTGTTAGAAAGTGCTCTAGTTTCATTCTTTTACAGGTGGTTGACCAGTTTTCCCAGCACCACTTGTTAAAGAGGTTGTCTTTTTTCCATTGTATATCCTTGCCTCCTTTGTCGAAGATAAGGTGACCATAGGTTCGTGGATTTATCTCTGGGCTTTCTATTCTGTTCCATTGATCTATATTTCTGTCTTTGTGCCATTACCATACTGTCTTGATGACTGTGGCTTTGTAGTATAGTCTGAAGTCAGGCAGATTGATTCCTCCAGTTCCATTCTTCTTTCTCAGGATTACTTTGGCTATTCGAGGTTTTTTGTATTTCCATACAAATTGTGAAATTATTCGTTCTAGTTCTGTGGAAAATACCGTTGGTAGTTTGATAGGGATTGCATTGAATCTATAGATTGCTTTGGGTAGTATAGCCATTTTGACAATATTGATTCTTCCAATCCATGAACACGGTATATTTCTCCATCTGTTTGTGTCCTCTTTGATTTCTTTCATCAGTGTTTTATAGTTTTATATGTATAGGTCTTTTGTTTCTTTAGGTAGATATACTCCTAAGTATTTTATTCTTTTTGTTGCAATGGTGAATGGTATTGTTTCCTTAATTTCTCTTTCTGTTTTCTCATTGTTAGTGTATAGGAATGCAAGAGATTTCTGTGTGTTAATTTTATATCCTACAACTTTACTGTATTCGTTGATTAGCTCTAGTAATTTTCTGGTAGAGTCTTTAGGATTTTCTATGTAGAGGATCATGTCATCTGCAAACAGCGAGAGTTTCACTTCTTCTTTTCCTATCTGGATTCCTTTTATTTCTTTTTCTGCCCTGATTGCTGTGGCCAACACTTCCAAAACTATGTTGAATAGTAGTGGTGAGAGTGGGCACCCTTGTCTTGTTCCTGATTTCAGGGGAAATGCTTTCAGTTTTTCACCATTGAGGGTGATGCTTGCTGTGGGTTTGTCATATATAGCTTTTATTATGTTGAGGTATGTTGCTTCTATTCCTGCTTTCTGGAGAGTTTTAATCATAAATGGATGTTGAATTTTATCAAAGGCTTTTTCTGCATCTATTGAGATAATCATATGGTTTTTATCTTTCAATTTGTTAATGTGGTGTATTACATTGATTGATTTGCGGATATTAAAGAATTCTTGCATTCCTGGGATAAAGCCCACTTGGTCATGATGTATGATTTTTTTAATATGTTTTTGGATTCTGTTTGCTAGAATTTTGTTAAGGATTTTTTGTGATGCCTTTTTTAATGTACTTAAAGCTATATATTTATTTCTCTCTCAGATCCAATTTAACTGCATCCCATAAATTTTGATATTTTGATATTTCATTTTCATTTGTCTCAAAATACTCTCCTGTTACTTTTCTTTGATCCATTTGTGTTTAGGAGTATGTTCTTTAATTCCCACATATTTGTGAAATTTCCAGTTTCCTTCTGTTATTGAGTTCTAGTTTCATTCCTTTATGTTCAGAAAGGATACTTTGTATACATTGTCTTTTAAAACATATTAAGACTTGTTTTTTGTTTTTTTTTTTACCTAACATGTGGCCTAATCTGGAGAATGCTATCTGTATGCTTGAGGAAACTTTCTGCAACCTTCTTGGGTGGTCTTGGTTCCTCTTGCTGCCTGACTGCCAAATTAAGTGAAAGGGTTCTTCAGGTAGCCCCCCTGCCCACCCCCACCCCTGCTACAAAGTAGGACATTGCAAATAAGGTTTGCTATGCTCCCTTTGGAGGGAAGGAATCAGGAAGTGTGCTGCTGCCTCCAGACCAGGACTGCACCACACTGAAGAAAGGTCTGGGAAAGGACAAGAAATGAAATGTCCTGCTGAGAAAGAATGTGGATTTTTTTTTCCACTGCACATTTGTGTCCTTGCTGTGTGCCTTTGTCCACTCTCCAATTCTAGAAGGTTATTGTAACCAATTCTTAGCTGTCATTTGATATCACCATTGAAGAACAAGGACTTCGAGTCTCCTAGTCTGCCATTTTGCTAACATCACTCCCTGGGCATGAATTTTAGGGAGAATCATCTGAAATTTATCAGAATGACCATTTATCTCCTAAATAAATGATTTTCATAAATTGTATATGTAATTACTAAAAATATTTTGGGATACTTCTTCACCTGCGGAGCATGTGTGTGTGTGTTAGTCATTCAGTTGTGTCTGACTCTGTGACCCATAGACTGTAGCCCACCAGGCTTCTCTGCCCGTGGAATTCTCCAGGCAAGAATACTGGAGTGGGTTGCCATTCCCTTCTCCAGGGGATCTTCCCGACCCAAGGATTGAACCCGGGTCTCCTGCACTGCACGCAGATTCTTTACCATCTGAGCTACCAGGGAAATCCTTGCAGAGCCTGTGGCACATTCTTATTACTCTTCGGTGTGGCAAACTCCCCTTTTTTGAGGCCAGATTTGATTTTGAGGAAATCATTTTATTCATTTACAAGATGAATAAAATGAGCAATAATTATTGGTGCAAAATATCTTAATTTCCATAATAAAGTAATTCCACTATAGGTACAAAAATTTTTGAGTAATGAAGGAATAACTCTTCAGGCTCATAACTGATAGCTTTGAAGATTATAGTTAATTGGTATCTAAGTTTTGATTTGGTGAAGTCTGTTTTAAAGTCTTATTTCAAATTCATGTAATATGTATCTGCCTATGAAATTTTAAAATGTGCAGGTAGATCCTCGTGAGAAATGAATACAGATATGTCTTTGTAATGGCACAAGTGACTGCAAGATAGCCAGGATTTCTCTTACTTTTAAAAGTGGTAGATTAAAAAAAAAAATTTTTTTTTTAAAATAAAAAAAAGTGGTAGATTCGTCTAGGGTTTGTCTTACCTCTGCAGTTCTGTGACACCTGTATCTGGAACATAACTATATTCTTCTACAAAAGTTACTTTTTCTCTGGTTACATATACATAGCTTTCAACTATAATAGGTTTCAGTTCAGTTGAATGCCTCATTAACCATATTAAAATTTAAGTTCATGAAACTGAAATTACCTTTTCAGTACTTTTGAGTTATGATAAATTTGCTTTCATAAAATTGTTCATGAAATATTGAAAAATAACTTAATTTTAAATGAAGGAAGAAGAGCCTGTGTGAAGAATTAGTAAGAAATACAGACAATTATTTATCAAAAATAATAGTGACTAAAAGCTGCATCGAAGCGAAAAAAAATGATTTGGATGCAGCTATGAAGATAGCAAGAGAATTAAAATCTGCACCTTCTCTAAGGATATATTGTGACCTAAATCAGGTAATTTTAATAGTCTTGGAATCTTCAGGACCTCATTCCCCATAGATAATCAGATGTTTGGACTGAGCTGAGGTGTAAAATAGAAGCCCTTGGTTTACCTGCTTCCAAAGTCTTGAACTTTTAAAGTTTTTGCACCATCTTATTTGACCAGGCCTCCATCTAGCTGTAGGTACACAGTAGTAGTCTATTACTGTGTATTACACATGAAACATTAGGAGGTGAAAAAAAGTAAAATTTGGTCTTTACCCTAGCTAGCCACATTAGGAAGATACGGGCAGAAAAAGAGAGAAACGTTTGAGGACAGCAGTGCAGGTGCACAACGAATGTGATCACAATTTCCCTTGATCATGTAGCTGTATCCCATTTATTAATTAGTTGTTATCTTTTGTTGTTATATCTTAATACACATCTCCAAAAGATTTTAAATTTCTTTGGGGAAATTTGCATCCCTCCCTTTGCTTGCCTAAAATCAGACCCTGAGCACATTAGTGAAATACCTAAAGAGTATAGTTTTCCCTCTAAAATCTTACTCTGTTTCAACAGTATTTGTAACAAAACAAAATGCACATATGAGCAATACTTCTCTTTTGACTCTAGATTATCCGGACTTTGAAGTTAACATTTGAGAGTGAATTGTCACAAGTCAGCTCTCTCAAACTAAGGAACTCTCCCAAGTAAGTAATTGTAATTCATAAAAGTAATCTATAGTTCAGAAGAGTCTGATACTTAAGTATAAAAATGTATTAGAACCTATATTTATTAAAATAACTAGCAATTATAAATTGAAAATTTGGGTCAAAAATATTTTCCAGATTAGCAACCAAATTAAAATAAGTGTGATTTATGAATTAAAAAGTTGTTTAGATGCTCTTTCAGAGTTTTTAATGTTAGCTAATTTTTATTAGAGAAAGTAATAAACTTGTATTAGAACACTTTTTATGCTAAGTATTTAATTTTAGGTTGAATATGAATTGCAGTGAGATCATCTGTATGTTCAGCAGTATGGGAAAGATTGAATTTGAGGATTTAACAAGGTAAGTATAAGAATGGCAACATGCCATTAGTGTCTGATATGGCCTAAGGGACAGAAATATTAGATCAAACAGAAAAATTGATCTTTAGTGTAATGTTGATTCAAAAGCTGAAAAATAATATAAGGGCAAAATGGTTTCTGTAAATTAATGCTACATAAAATATTTAAGAATTAAAAGACCTAGAAAGGATTAGTATCCAGTGATTTATGTGTCATCTCTGAGGTTCATTTATTCAGCCAGCGTTGAACACTGATGTGCTAGCCTCTAAGTGTTGAAAAATGAAAGTATTTACTCAGTCATGTCTGACTCTTTGCAACCCTATGGACTGTAGCCCTGTCAGGCTCCTCTGTCCATGGGATTTCCCAGGCAAGAATACTGGAGTCGGTAACCATTCCCTTCTCCAGGGGATCTTCTGGACCCAAGAACTGAACCCACGTCTCCTTCATCTTCTCCATTGGCAGACAGGTTCTTTACCACTGAGACATAACACCCTAGATATTTAGATTTATGCAGAGAAGTTACAGTAAATAAAGAATGACATATGTAAACAGTAAAGTACATAATTGCTTTGATAGTAAAATGTGCAGTCTAATGGAGATGCAAAAGAAGGGAATGATCAGTTCTTTGCAGGGTACCAGGGGACTTGGAAAGAGCAGGTTTGATTTTCCCCCATTCATGAAAAATGAGTAGCAGTTGAAAGGAACAGTAGGGAGGCAGCATCTTAGCAGAAAGAAATTGATGGGCAGTGAGATAGTATACTGTATTCAGGAACCTGCATGTAGAATTTTGACAGAGGATACATAGAGGCTGAATCCTAAAAACTTTGTATGCTCTGGTGGTGTTTGAACTTTATTTCCTAGACCTGTGCTACCCAATATGGTAGCTGCTAGCCATGTGTGGTTATTTAAATTTAAACATAAATTAAAACTAAATAAAATGGAAGATTTTAGTTCTTTGGTTGCACTAGCCACATTTCAGGTGCTCAATAGCTATATTTGGTTAGTGACTATCATTCTGGACAGTACAGCATAATTTCATTATCGCAGAAAGTTATGTTGGATAGCACAGCTGTAAATAATAGCCATTAAAAGATTTTCAGAATGAAAGTAAAAGTAATTAGGTTATATTTGTAAAAGGTAACTCTAGTGACCATAGAGAATTATTTGGAAGAATATGAGGCTGAAAGCTGAAGGATGGCTTAGGTTATTATATGATCTAGCATATAATATTATATTATATATATATATATATATAAAATATGGCCTAGCAAATGATGAGAAACCAAATGTAGGTAGTAGCACTGGAAAGGAATACATAATGACATGCTAAATAGGGAAAAGTGCTGAAACTTAGTAATCGTTTCAGTGTGAGAAATGAGGAAAAGGGAAGCATTCCAATGATTTATAGGTGTATCTTTGGTGATTGAGGTGATGAATTGTGGTATTACTTACCAAGATTGGAAATATACAAAGAAAAGTTGGGAGGGGAATATAGTGGGATATGCTGAGTTCCTATTGTTTACCAGGTATCTGGGGAGAAACCTCTGGAGGGAAGTTACAGGATTTGATTCTTAGTTTTGGAGTAGTCAGAATATAAATGGTTTAGAAACCCCCAAAAGAAAATAAGTTTATTCATTTGAAGGTGGTATGGCTCCTCGGGAAATCATCCCTCAAGAAGCATCACATTCATTACTTTGGGGAACTAATGAGGGCCTGGCCTACAGCATTACAAGCTCAGAAACAGACATGAGCAGACCTACTCTAAACCAGGTAAACTCATGTAATCCAAGTTCACAAAACTAACACATGATCTGAATGCCAGTTTATTAACTTAAGGGGCAGATAGTATTGCCACAGGGACTATTAATAGAATACTTTTGCTGGCATTCTTTTCCAATATCCAAACAGACACAGAAAGCCAAATCATCAGAATTGCTTTGTAGTGTTTTTGGAATAAAGGGAATAAGGTATATCAAATAGCTGTGAAGAGTGTTGGTACTAGTCAGCCTGCTGTGTTCCTTGACCCCACAGGGAAGACCTTGCCAGAGGCCTCAAGTACCAGGCCTTTGGCTCGAGTCATCTTGCCCACACGTGGAGCCCTGGCCCCTGTATGCCTCTATGACTTGACTTTCTGCAGTTTCATGGATGATCATCCTTTCCAGTCAGTACATTCTTCTAGATGTTTTCATAACTTGAATATGGTTACTGTCAAATATTTTTAATACCAAAAGGTATTATCTTTAAGTGTCTGTACTGATCTTGCCATGGTTTTAAGTTTAACTCAGAAGTCTTTTAAATTTCTCCCTAGATTTTCGGGAAAGTATCACTGTAGCCTGCCTCTACTGATGACAGGTGGTAATTAAAGAATGTGTTTGCATAGTGAAAACAGATTTTGAAGTGGGTCAAGGACAGCACCCTAGAAAAATATTAAATTTCAAGACAGGGAAATAGTAACTTGCAAACCAAAGGAAATGAAGAGGGAGCACGAGAGAGCGATACTCTAGAAGTCAAAGGAGGAGAGGTTTCTGAGGCAAGAGTTGGTTGACAATGTTAAATGTCTCAGTAAGGTCAGATAAGAGTTGTGTAAAAAGAAATGTTTTAGATTACAAAGTTGTGTATATATATGTGTACTTAGGAAGTGTTTGGACCTTTAGTTAACATGTATTAAGAGACAAAATAGGTCTGCTGAATTCATTTGGCTTTGTAGGTTCTTATTTCTGATTTCATTTGGCTTCTTGTATGGGGATCTGTGAAGAAGCTAAAACTTTCATGGGTTAACTAGAATAGAGGCTTCTGAGACTCAATCGCATTTCTTTGATAGAATTTTGTATTTGTAGACTTGATAGATTTTATCTGTGTGGATTTGTGAAGATAGAAATATATGAAGTGAAGTGCATAATCAGTTGCAGGTTAGTGGCTGTTGAATAATCATACCCAAAGGATTCAGACTAATCATCATTTTAACCCTCGATGTAGGTTTCTAGAAATTGCCTCAGGGTTGTACCTCTCAGTGCTTCCTACACTTTATTTTTAAGCTAGTGAATTGAGAGAAATAATCTTAGCATAGTTTAAAATCAAACACCAGAGCCAAATCAAAGTTTAAACAATTAAAATTGAAAACCGTATCCACTGTTCTTTTAGGATCAGATAGTTGTGACATGACTGTGGCAAGTTCTTTCTTCAACTTCTCATTGATTTTCTGTTGTTGACCTTTTAAAACTTGTGGACTTCCTCGGGAATGGCCAGAAGTTTCTTTGGGGATAATGAAATGTTGTAAAATGAAGTTATAGTGATGGTTATACAACTCAATTTAGTAGAAATTACCGGATTTTATAGTACATAAATTATTTCAATGTTGCTGTTTTTAAAAATACCCATGGGACACCTGTACAACTTTAACTCTTTATATGTGTCACAGTACTGTCATGTGGAAAGGAAATGGTTTTAAAGTAGATCTAAAAAATTATGATTTAAAGTAGCCTCTGTATTTTTAAACAGATGTGATCCTCAAGAAAGTGAAATGGAAAAGAATGGTCAAAAGAAATACAATTGTAAAAAGGAATTTTCTTATGGTGGTACATACCTATCACTAGAAAAGAAAAAAGTTGATATTTCTGTCCTAAATAATGAAGCCCCACTGACTTCTTCACAATGGGAAACCAAAGACATGCATTTGGAAGCTGACTTCCAGCCACAGAAAGAGGTTGTTGCAGCAACACTTCCTAAAACCATTGCTGCTCTACCTCAGGTGGGATCTAGCCCTGATGTGATCATTGAAGAAATTATTGAAGAAAACCTGGAAAGTGAGTAAAAATACAAAAACAGGGAAACAGTAAGTCATGTCTGGAATTTGAAGCAAAATTAATACCTGTTTGTCCCTGACCTTAACAAATATATGTTTATTATCTTACATCTCATTATGAGTAAAGTTGTTGATCCCATGCCACTCCTTTCACATTTTCCAAAGTTAGGATAGTTTTTATTTTTAATGCAATAATATAGCTAAACTCTAATATTTGGTTTAGGTAGTGTATTTGACTTTTTAGCATTCCACATACAAACCTCTATAAAAGATGAAAATACTATTAAGTAAATGGTGTTAATAGAAGCAGTCTGATGACTTTTTCCTTAAATTTAAGAACAGAATATCCTAAATTTTTGTCCTGAAATGCAATCCTTTATAAAAATGAACTATCATGAATATTGGTCTTTCCTAGTGGCTCCGACGGTAAAGCGGGAGACCTGGGTAATATATAGAAGCATCTATTTGGTAACGTTTAAATGTATCATGGTTTGATTTGATTTCTAGTGTCGGTTTTCTCACCATCAATGTCAGTGAGATACTGCTGGGTGTAGTTACACTGTCAGTCGTCTTTAGGACCACTTTCAAGATCAGCTTTGGTTTTCTCCTCCCACCCACCCCCTGCCCGCACTCCCAATCTGTTCCATTGGTTGACTTCCCAGAATGATACAAAAAAAAGACAAGCTGTTTTTTCCACTATATTATTATTATCATTCTTTATCTCAGTAATCCTGATACATAAGGGTCTTAACCAATCCAGTATTTTGCCAAATTCAAGTACAGCTTCTTATACAGTGTGTTAAGTATGCCATTATCAACATAATAAAACTAACACAGTTGCCTTTATTTCCTATTTTGATGAAGCATGCTTCACAGATTATTTTGTTGAGACACCTAGATATCTAAAAAAGCCTCTTCAGAAAAAGTCATCTGTTTCTTTTGGATCAAAAACAGGTACTTTAACAACTCTGAACTTGATGTAGCAGAGTTTGATGTATATAAAAAATATTATGTTATATATAAATTTATATAAAGTTATATAAGTAACTTACAGAGAGTGAAACAGTGAGTAAAATGAATTTTATTAATAACTAAAAACTTTTCTTTTTTTTTTTTTTTTTTGCTGTGCTGCATGGTTGTGAGATCTTAGCTTCTCCACCAGGAATTGAACCCAGGCCTATGGCAGTGAGAGCTCTTAAGTCCTAACCACTGGACTGCCAAAGAAATTCCCAAAACTTCTTTTTTAATGTTAAAAATCCTGGCTGTTATTGGCAAAAACATTTCTGAAATTTATAACACTTCCCTCAGCTGTCTCCCCAGTAACACATACATATTGCTTTACCTCATCCTCAGTATGGGTGTTATTCTTCATGATCTGTAGTGGATAGGTAAAATGACCTATTTGTTCAGATTTTTATCTTGTATCTATACTTCAGTTCCTCCTAGTAACTTTTACTAGATTTATTAGAACATCTGCATTGTTTAAAAATTAAATATATTAAATACCCTCTGACCCTTTTCCCCTAATCTACTCCCATTCCATTTAGTCTGTTCCTCCTTTCTAGAGTTTCTTTATGCCTATTTGAACAAATACACATGTATTATTTTTCTGACTCTTAGTTTTTGTTTTTGCACATAAGACATAGCTTGCCATACACACTACTGTGTTCTTTCCCTTCCTTTCTCTTTTTTCTTTCTTTTTTTTCTCTTTCTGTTTTTGGCCATGCCATGTAACATGTGGGATCTTAATTTCCTGGCAAGGGATAAAACCTGTGCCCCTGGCAGTGGCAGCATGGAGTCTTAACCACTGGACTGCCAGGAAAGTCCCTTAATTCCTTCCTCAACATCATACTCTGGAGATTTTTTCATATCAGTAAAAACACTTGGCTTAATTACTACTATATGAAAAAAGTTTCTACTTGTCTTTTTTATTCTACTACACCCTTACTTCCACCAAAACATACACATCTCCCTCTAAATGCTGCTCACTATGTTGGTTTTCCCAGACACTTTTTCATACCTCTCTAGCCTGGTAAGATCTAGGAGTCAAAGCAGCCATGAGCTAATTATTGGTTCCTTCAGTTTAGTGTAGTTTATACAGGATTTTTGTAGCGATACTAGAAACATCATTGTCATTGGGGTTCTGAGCTGTAATTATGAATAAATTCTGAAGTTTTGTTGTAATGCAGTATAGTTATAGCATGTACTCTGACTCTGGTACCTAACTAACTCAGGTACATATGTGAACTTCAATTACACTTATTTAACATATTTTGCAAATGTTCACAGGTCAGGTTGCTAAAGAAATCATTGTGAAAGTGGAATTTATTTATGTTACTGTTTGGGATTTGGGTTACTCTTTTATGAGGCCTAAGTATTCTAGAGTTTGCAGTGCTACCGGACACATTCTTTTAGAAGATACTGCATTCAAATTTTGTGAATTCTTTCCTAACTTTTGGTTTATTAATGTGATTTGAAAATTCTCATCCAGGTTCTCCAGAGCTAGTTTTTGTAAGCCATGTAATACATCCTTGCCACTTCTATATTCGGAAGTATTCACAAATAAAAGATGCAACAGTATTGGAAAGGAAGGTGAATCAGTTTTGCAGTAAGAATTTACACCTTGATCCTTCAGATGTTTTGGAGCTAGGTAATGAAATCTTATTCCAAGTTAAAATATAAAGCTTAATTAAATACTTGGCAACTCATGTAGACTTTTTATAATACAGATTTGAGCAGGTATAAAGCTTTGGGAATTATTTAACATAAGCTAAATTTTATTTAGGTAAATTAGTTAAATATTTAACTTTTTGCTCAGAGGTATCATAGTAGTAATATTATTACGGGATACAGTATACATAATTCAAATGTTTTTAATACATATCATTTGCCAAGTTCAATTGGAGTCATAGTAATTTGGAACTTACTGTCTTTTTTCATATTCTTTTCCATTATGGTTTATCACCAAATATTGAATATAATTGCCTGTGTTCCCACTAGGACTTTGTTGTTTATCCATTCTGTACGTGATAGTTTGTATCTGCTAACCTCAAACTCCTACTTCATCCCTCTCCCAGCCCCTCTCTTCCTTGCTAGTCACAAATCTGTTTTCTAGGTCTGTGAATCTGTTTCTGTTTCACTAAAATTCATTTATATCATAGTTTAGATTCCACATATAAGTTATGTATATCATGAGGTATTTATCTTTGTCTGACTTACTTCACTTTGCATGATAATCTAATCTGACCATGTTGCTGCAAAAAGCATTATTTTGATCTTTTTATGGCTGAGCAGTGTTCCATTGTATATATGTACCACATCTTTATCCATTCATCTGTCGATGGACATAAAATTGACTGTTGAGTGAAATATACACAAAAACTCCATTATGGAATATGGTGAGATTTTTAAAATTATAAAATCCATAATAGGTTAAATAATTTGTCCCCTTGTCTCTAGAGAAAAGTATTTCCCTAAGTGTTCCTTGTAGCATGCATATCATCCCTTGCTATTCACATGTGGATGTTGAAGATGTCATTGAACATCTGAATGAGATGGATGCAGGGCAGTGCATCTATTTCCTAGTGCCACACAGAGGGTAGCTGGTAAATTTAATCAATGCATCTTAATTCTGTGTGTAATTTGCCATAAATTAGGCTTTCATTGGTAGCTCAGCTGGTAAAGAATCTGCCTGTAGTGCAGGAGACCAGGTTTGATTCCTGGGTCAGGAAGATCCCTTGGAAAAGGGATAGGCTACCCACTCCAGTATTCATGGGCTTGCCTGGTGGCTCAGATGGTAAGGAATCTGCCTGCAATGCAGGAGACCTGGGTTTGATCCCTGGGTTGGGAAGATCCCCTGGAGGAGGGCATGGCAGCCTTATCCAATATTCTTGCCTGGAGAATCCCCATGGGCAGAGGAGCCTGGTGGGCTACAGTCCATGGGGTCACAAAGAGTCGGACACGACTGAGCAACTAAATACATACAGTACAGGCTTTCATTACAAATATCTTCTTTATAACTGTTGACTAAATATGATTATACTCTGTAATGAAGCTGTGATTTGATTTATTAGTAGAGCGTTTTCTCATTCTATTAATACCATTCAATGCCTGTATATAACTGACATCAAAAAGTACTATATTATCTGTTCAGCTTTATATTTGTTGCTTTTGTTGTTTAGTTGCTAAGTTGTGCCTGACTCTTTGAGGCCTGATGGACTATAGCCTCAAGGCTCCTCTGTCCAGGCAAGAATACTGCAGTGAGTTGCTATTTTCTTCTCTTAGGGGATCTTCCTGACCGAGGGGTTGAACCTGCCTCTCTTGCATTGGCAGGTGGATTCTTCACCACTGAGCCATCAGAGAAGCCCCAACTTTATATTAGTAGTTCTTTAAAAGTGTTGCTAACTCTCAGCTGATCTTTGTAGCTTATCAGAATATCAGAAGATTAGAATCATCATATACTTCTCATAAGATGAATAATAATTTTTAAGATTAAAAAACAGTGTTTAAATTATGAATGTCTAAGGAGGGAAGTGTAGCAGTAAATTTAAATATAGTTAAATTTTTAATGACTGCAAATAATTCTCTAATATATATATAAAAGAGCTCAGTTTAGTTTCAGAAAATATTCTAAGAAAGTCAAAATATCATTCTTTAAGTTGTCAAGGATAATTAATTATTTCAAGGTAGATACACATAATTCACATACTCATTTATCTTTTGAGAAGTTAATGTTAAGGGAAGAAATGTAATACAGTGTTCTAGCTGAGTATCCTCTTGTTCCCTTTTTCTTCCTGAGCTTTTCATTATAAAGAACAACAAATGGCTTCAATAGGCTTTTATCTCACCCATTTCAACAAAGAATAGTTTAATAGAATATAGTTTAAATCTAAGAATATTGGTCTTATGATGTATCAACATAAGAGGAGGGTTGATGACAGTCTCAAGGCCAAGTACAGGTTTTGGTAGAACTTGAAAGGTTACCCTGTATGCCCCTGAGCTACCTGTTCTTATTAGCATATGGAGAGGGGATTTTGCAGCCTCTCTCTATGTGGTAAGTGAACAAATCTTACCAAATTCATCTCTGATGTTAGCTCAGTTGTTAAGAGGATGGGCTCCAATACTGCCTGGATTCTCTTCCTCCCTCTTCTAAGTAGCCATGTGGCTTGGGCTGGATGTGCAGCCTCTCTTTGCCTGGTTTCCTTACCTATGGGCTGGAAGCAGCATATCTGTGGGGTTGTTGTGGGGAAAAGGTAAATTCAGACACAAACTACTGAGAACATTGCTGAGCAGATAGTAAAAGTAAAAATTCGAGCTTCATTCTAACTTGATTTTTTTTTTCTGGTTATTAATTTGTAATTCATCTGATCCCTCCATAAGGTCTTCTTCTACTGTTAGGTCCTTGGTTCACTTTCCCCTTTTCTGAACTCCACTGTGTATTAATTTCTTAATTTTTGCCTTTCACGCTCTGCCTTTCTTAGTTTCCTTACTTTTACTTCCCTTTTACCAAGACAAGGTCATTGCATCTTCCTTTATGCTACCTAAGTATTTTATAGATTTCAGTATGTCTGTATCTGTACATGTGTGTGTGTGTGTGTGTACATGTACAAGGATGATCTTTACTGTTATAAGTACAGTGATTGATAGTCACTTACTTGCATGTCTCCTCTCCTTTGTTTTTTTTAAAGAAACAATTAGATTTCTTTTTATTCTTTTTTTTTCTTCTGTCTTTTACAAACACTTGTGTCGAGGGCTGACTTTCAGTAGATTGCAGCAAGGGAGCTGATATGCTACGTCGGAAACCCTGACCCAGAAGCAGGTCGTCTACAAATGGTTTAGTACTAGGTTCCCCACAAATGTGCCATGCATGATGGTCGAGGGGGTGGCCACCTTTCCAGCCAGGCCCCATGTCCCAGGACGAAGGGTTCTCCACACTGGAACCCAGTCCCGACGTGCGGTGGGGTTCACCACACTGGGCTCTGAGGGATGTGGTCTCCTCTCCTTTCTTGAGCAGGACAGTCTTACTCATCTTTATTATAGTTCATAAAACACAGGTCCTCAATAAAGGACTGCTGGCTTGATACTCTGTTTTTGCCTTCCTGTCTAGGTCACAAGTTTCTGTATATACTACCTTTGATCCCTCTTATAGCACTGACTCGGTACTATATCACCAGTTAATAAGTTAGTTAAGACTTTTTTGTGATAGAATCTAATGTACTTGTTTGTAAATTAGAGGTAATTAGATATTTTCTTTGTAAACATTGATAATCATTTGTCTCCATTATGTAGGTGCAAGAATATTTATCAACAGTATTGAAAATGGAATGTGGTGTCGAGGAACTATTACTGAATTAATTCCAATGGGAAGTGAAAGTATTAGGAAACTTTGTAGTCCAACCAAATTCTCAGTCCATGAAGTTGCACTAATACAAATTTTCATGGTAGATTTTGGAAATTCTGAAGTGCTGATTGTTGCAGGGTATGTTACTTTATAAGTATTATATATTCCTGCCTACTTAGAAACACTTGTGATGGGGAAGTACCAAAGAATAAAGAAAAATAGGAAGAGGTAGAAATAAGTTATCCTTCTTCACTTCCAAGACATATACTTTTTATTTTGCTCTGAAGTTTGTCTTACTCATTACTAAATTAGCAAAGTATTATACTTTATCAGTGCTACTAGATGGGGAGCTTAGAAAAATAAATTTTTGATGTTTCAAACTTAAATAGTCTTCTGTATTGCTTTAAAGCAGAGAATGAAGCACACAGATTTTCTTTATTTTAAATAGTTGCCAGATGATTGAGTAAAATTTTTAATCATATTTCTTTAATTTCATTATTGCATATTAAAGTAGCATAGTGTCTAGCTCATTTTAGGTGTTCAGAAATGTTTCCATTAGTCTTCTAGCAAAATAAAGCAAATTGAAAATGTTCTTGTAGTAAGAAACCAGTATTAACTCTTGCATGGTCATTTTATTAAATGGTCATAGCTTTATAAACAAATATATTGCTATTTGGGTGTGTCATTATGCCTTTTAAGTTTAAACTCACTAGGTATATGAAAGATAATCCAGATAAAGTCTGTTGAGATGTATTCTGTAGGTAGAAATAGTGTCTGTGGTTTTAAAAGATTGATTGAATCTATATAATGAGATAGTATGAATCAGGGTATAACTTTTTAGAAGATTTAACTTAAAAAGAGAATGTGTAGAAATGCATACCTTTTGTGGGCTAAGGCAAGCTTGGGCTTGAAGCATTATTTTCATTAACTGTTGCTTGAATTCTTCCCAGGGTTGGTGACACTCATGTGAGATCAGAACACATTGCTAAGCAGCATGTCGTACTAAATGACTTATGTCTGGTTCTGAGAAAGTCTGAGCCATATATTGAAGAACTGCTGAAAGATGTCCAGCCACTAGCACATCCATGCTCATTGAAAGACATTGTTCCACAGAATTCAGTAAGTGAGACTTAAATTATTTCTTGTTTGGGGGCCAAATATTGCAATTTTAACTACGCTTTGGGGTTCAGATTACTGAATGTAGGTTCATGGCACCAGTTCACTTGTTAAATACCTTTTGCATAATAAACTATTGGTGCAAGTGAAAAAGGAATTGAACTTCCATTTCTACAATCAGAATTGATCTTAATGGGAAATTATACTGAATATGTATATATGAACTTAATGATGGGTGAATATCTGAGTAAACCACTAAATTTTAGAGTCAAGTAAATATGGAGAGAGAAAAAAATTTGATGTGGTATGGTATATGTTTCTATACATCTCTATTTGCATGACCCTTGCTCACTACTTATTAGCTATATTGCATTCTGCTTTTGTATTATTTATGAGTATTTGTTCCCCAGAAAGATCTTAAACTCCTAGAAGACAGAAATTGTGTGTAAGAATACTTGTTAAGCAGTTGTATTATTAGAAAGTCTGAAAGCAGGAATCTGTGCCTTTGTTCATCTTTGTATTCCAGCACTTAGCAAATCACCTAGCACGCAGTAGGCATTCAGTAGATATTTGAAAGAATGAACAAATGAATAAAGAAAGAAAAGGAAACATATGAAAATATTAGCACTGATGTTTTTCTCAAAATTATTTTGGCTTTAATTTTATCCTATAATGGATAAAACTTTTTTTTTGCACTTATCCTGAGTAGGTTTTACTTTTTTATGTTCATAAAATATTTAGAAAATTTTTTATTTTTAAGGAATATATGGTTTTGACCCCTGAAATGTATGAGTACTTAAAGATTCAAAGGTCAGTGAAAACAATTTTTTTTGTTGTTTTTTTCAATGGGTGAGTATTTTTCCTTATTATTTAAGTAGCATGTGCCTCGTATATTGCTAATAATGGAAACTAAGCATATGATGATGATTATAAATATCTAATGTATTACATGGCTTCCATTATACTTTTAGAATTACTTTTGGATCTCATCATTTAAGGGGAAAATTTGTATGTCAATACTTCTTTTATCTTTAAATTTTTATTTATTATTTTCATAGTAATATTCACAAGTAAAACTAAGTCCTGAAGTGCAACAGCTTATGGTCACCTTGAGACCACGTTTATAAAATCCAAGTATGATCTGTACATTGTACATACATAAAGACTGTCCTCCTTGGGTTTGTGGGCCCAGTTGCTTCTAAATATCTATGGTTGGTTCAGTGCCTTTGCTCAGATTTACTGTTAGAAAGCTAAATCTACAATATTGTACCATTTAGAGCTAATTATAATTACTGAACACATTGAAATTTTACTTTTTCCATAGAGTGAAGGCTGGGGAGAAGAAGCTAAAATAGAATTTTTGAAAATGGTAAATAAGAAGGCTGTTTTAATGAAAGTTTTTAAAGAGGAAGATGGTGTGCTTATTGTAGATCTTCAGAAACCACCAACAAATAAAATAAGCAGTGATATGCCTGTGTCTCTTAGAGATGCATTAGTTTTTATGGAACTAGCAAGGTAGGTAACTTATTAAAACATAAATATCTTCAAGGTTATAGCTATAGATAGGAATAGCAGATTTTACCTTTAAAAAACATGGGGTCTAAAGTGAACTATAACATACTTTTAAGAGGGAGCACCAAATCCTAAGCACTAGACTATCAGGGAGCACACTTATAACATACTCTGAGAATTTAAAGGTATCTCTGTCAGAGTTTTCTAAGTACAGTTGTGTGAAAATTGGATTCAGATCATTTGATTTAAGAAAATAGGCACATTAAGGTAGCTCAAAATAGAAGTTACTTGTAAGATAGTGAACTTTTTTTTTTAGACTCTAGTTAACCTTATAAGTAGCTCCATTAGGATTTCAAGAATTCGTGTTTAACTGTTCCCTATTTAAATTTTCTAAGCTTTGGAGTAAGATCATGGTCACTACTGTATATTAATATATGAATCTAGAGTAGATACTTACACTTTTTTTCTTTCTCCTCTCTGATGAACAAAGAGATAAAAAGTAACCACAGAGATGATGGAAGATACTTTCTGTCCTGAGGAATAACAGGAGTCTGGAAGTGACCCAAGTAGATTGCATTCTGTAAAACTTAAGTAGGGTATTGTAGCTGGAAGGGGCCACAGAAACCCCTCAGCTGGCCTTCCTTGAGTTCTGCCATAGACCATGAGTATCAAGTCAACCAAAAGAGTAGAAACCTTGAGTACAAAATATAGGCCCAACTCAAAAATGCTCCAACATAAACTTAAAGGTTAATTATTGTTTTGAGACTTGACCTCTTATTTATCCTCATGTGATAATTAAAGATAATGCCAAGAAGTATTATAAATTAGAAGACAAAGATTGGGGAAATATTCTTGGTAGATAAATCAGTATATGTGCAGGTCTTTTCTTCGTATCAATTCACTGAGAGAAGAGAGACCTTAGGAAAATGGCTCTTGCTTATGCTTTTAATTATTATGCTTTTAATTAGGTTTAGATCTCAAACACCAAGACATCATTCTGAAAAAAATACGACTTTACACTATCCTCTGCCTATTTTGCCTAAAGAAATGACAGATGTCTCAGTTATGGTTTGTCATATAAATAGTCCTTCTGATTTCTATCTTCAGTTGGTAAGTATATAATGGTCCTTTGAGACAAAATATTTTTTCAAATATTAAGTAAAATGTATTATGTAAATGAGTGCCCAGTATGCATTCTAGAGCTAACAAACTGCTGTCAGCCTTCCATAAATTTTAAGTTTCTTTGTAGCTGCTACTTTAAACAAGAAACTCATGTGATTCATAGTAAATTGAAGGAAATCTTCATCCTGCAAGTTAGTGAAAATATGAAGGGGAAGGAAAATGAAGGATCCCTAATGTGTAAATATTTCTTGCTACCTTCTGAAATCTAGAAACCAGGAGAGCATATAGAACTGGCAGATCAAAATAAAATAACACCCATATCTGATAATGTATGAAGATTTATTTATTGCTAGGTAATAATCTGAATTTGAACACTAAAATAGATTCCAGTTAAAGGCATTCCATTGTCTATTTGGATATATGACTGATGGGTTTGTTTTAGATAGCTACCATCATTAAGGTTCATTGTTATTGATCTCTTTGTGTCCATGTTCTATATGAATTAATGCATTCTCAGGGCCATAATGCTTTGTGTGAATTAACTCATTAATCTTTACATCAGTCTTATGAGGAAGATACTATTACCTTCATTTAGAAGTGGGAACTCTAACCAAAGGGCTGAAGCAACTTGCAGAGGTCACGTGGCTACAGAAAAGTAGAGCCAGGACTGAGCTGGACTCACTCAAAGCCTGTCACCTGATTGTAGGCATGTGTATATATTTCTTTTTTTTTTTCTTTTTTTTTCCCATTTATTTTTATTAGTTGGAGGCTAATTACTTTACAATATTATAGCGGTTTTTGCCATACATTGCCATGAATCAGCCATGGATTTACATGTGTTCCCCTTCCCCATCCCCCCTCCCACCTCCCTCTCGATCCCATCCCTCTGGGTCTTCCCAGTGCACCAGCCCTGAGCACTTGTCTCAGCATGTGTATATATTTCTGGGCTCTCTGTTCTGTTCCATTGATCCACATGTCTGATTTTTTACCAATACCATACAACCTTGATTACTGTTTAGTTAAGTTCAGTCGCTCAGTTGTGTCCGACTCTTTGTGACCCCACGGACTGCAGCACACCAGGCCTCCCTGTCCATCACCAACTCCCAGAGTTTACCCAAACTCATGTCCATTGAGTCAGTGATGCCGTCCAACCATCTCATTCTCTGTCATCCCCTCCTCCTCTTGCCTTCAATCTTTCCCAGCATCAGGGTCTTTTCCAGTGAGTCAGCTCTTTACATCAGGTGGCCAAAGTACTGGAGTTTCAGCTTCAACATCAGTCCTTCCATTAATTACTGGAGCTTTGTAGTATTGTTTGAAATCTGGTTGAGTTATGCCTCTTTCTTTTTTTTCCTCAGGATTACTTTGGCAGTTCTGGGTATTTTAAGGTTCCATGGAAAATTTTGGATTATTGTTCTAGTTCTATGAAAACTGTCATGAGTAATTTGATTGTGATTGCATTCAATCTATAGATTGTTTTGGGTAGTGTTACCTTTTAAACAATATTCTTCCAGTCCAAGAGCATGGTATTATCTTTCCATTTCTTTGAGTCCTCTTTAATTTCCTTTATTAATATTCTCTAGTTCTCAGCATATTAAGTCTTTCTCTTCCTTGGTCAAGTTTCTTGATAGCTGAATTTTTTTGGTGCAACTTTTAAAGGTATTGTGGGAGGGAGGAGCCAAGATGGTGGAGGAATAGGACGGGGAGACCACTTTCTCCCCTACAAATTCATCGAAAGAACAATTGAACGCAGAGAAAACTTCACAAAACAACTTCTGATCGCTAGCTGAGGTCATCAGGAGCCCAGAAAAGCAGCACATTGTCTTTGAAAGGAAGTAGGACAAAATATAAAAGATAAAAAGAGAGACAAAAGAGCTAGGGACAGAGATCTGTCCCCGGAAGGGAGTCTTAATAGAGGAAGTTTCCAAACACCAGGAAACCCTCACACTGGCGGGTCTGGGGGAAGTTTTTGAATCTCGGAGGGCAACCTAACTGGGAGGGGAAAAATAAATAAAACCCACAGATTACGTGCCTAAAAGCAACTCCCAGCAGAAAAGTACCCCAGACGCCTGCATCTGCCACCAGCAAGTGGGGGCGGAATGGAGAGGAGCGGGCGGCATTGCTTAGGGTAAGGACCGGGCCTGAGTGCCCTGAGGACAATCAGAGGGAGCTTTTGTGAGTTACCAACTTAAAAGGTATTGTGTTTTTACATTCCCTTTCTGATATTTCATTGTTAGTATAAAGAAATGAAACTAATTTCTGAATGTTAATCTTGTGTCCTACTGTTTTGCTGAGTTCATTTATTTTTTAACAGTTTGTGTGTGTGGTGTCCTTAGGGTCTTCTATAGGATCACGTTATTTGCGTGTAGTGACAGTTTTAACTTCTCCCTCCAAGTTGGGTACCTTTTGTTTCTCATCTGATTGCTGAGTGGCACACTTTAATTTACTGTGGCTTTGTAGCAAGTTTTGAAATGAGAATGTGTGAGCTGTCCAACTTTGTTCTTTTTCAAAGTTGTTTTTGAACTTTGGGGGTCCCTTGAGATCTCACGTGACTTTTAGGATGAGTTTTTCTCTTTTTAAAAATTGTACTTATTTTTTTATGGCTGTACTGGACCTTCACTGCTGTGTGTGAGCTTTTCTCTAGTTGCAGCAAGTGGGGGTTACTCTCTAGTTTTGGTGTGAGGGCTTCTTGTTGTGGTGGCTTCTCTTGTTTTAGATCATAGGCTCTAGGGTATGTGAACTTCAATAGTCACAGCACACAGGCTCAGTAGTTGTGGCACACAGGCTTAGTTTTTCCACAGCATGTGAAATATTCCCAAAATCAGGGATCAAATCCATGTCCCCTGCATTAGCAGATGGATTCATAACCACTGGACCACCAGGGAAGTCTCTAGGATGAGTTTTTCTATTGTACATGAAACATCATTGGGATTCTGATAGGGATAGCTTTGAATTGTAAATTGCTTTGGGTACTGACATCCTTTTTTAAAAGATTTTATTTATTTATGACTATTTAGATCTTCATTGCTGCACGGCTTTCTCTAGGTTGCAGCAAGTGTGAGCTACTCTTTGTTGCTGTGTGTGGGCTTCTCATTGTGGTGACTTTTCTTGTTGCAGAGCATGGACCCTAGGTGCATGGGCCTCTGTAGTTGCTGCTCACAGGCTCTAGAGTGCTGGCTCTAGAGTTGTGGCACATGGACTTGATTGTTTCATGGCATGTGGGATCCTCCAAGTCCAGGATCGAATCTGTGTCCCCTGCATTGGAAGGCAGATTCTTAACCACTGGACAGCCAAGGAAGCCCTGGGTATTGACATCTTAACAGTATTAAATCTTCCAGTTCATAAACATGGAAGGTTTTTCCATTTATTTTGTAGCAGTGCTGTGTACTTACAACAAGTATACAAGTCTGTATCCTCAGTTATATTTATTCCGGAATATATTCTTTTTATTCTACTGTAAAATGAGTTGTTTTCTTAATTTCCGTTTGGACTGTTCATTGTTAGTGTGTAGAAATGCATGTGATTTTTTGTAATCATTTTGTAGTCTACATCTTTGTATGCTTAATCGTGTCCAACTCTTTGTGGCCCCATGGGTTGTAGCCCGCCAGACTCCCCTGTCCATGGAATTCTCCAGGCAAGGATACTGGAGTGGGTTGCTATGCCCTCCTCCAGGGAATAATCCCAACTCAGGGATCAAACCTGCATCTCTTGTCTCCTTCATTGGCAGGCGGATTCTTTACCACTAGCTCCACCTGAGAAGCCCATTTATTAGACCTGCTAGTATTTTTGTGGCATCTTTAGGGTTTTTTACCTATAAAATCACGTCATCTTCAAAAAGAGATCATTTTCCTATTTCTTGTCAATTTGGTTGGCTTGTATATATATTTGCCTAATTACTTTAAATGCCTTATATACATATATATTTGCCTAATTACTCTGGCTCAAACTTACAAAACTATATTAAATAGCAATGGCAAAAGCATGCATGCTTACTTATTATCATTCTTAGAAGAAAAGCTGTCAGTCCTTCATGTACAAAATTTGCTCTTAACCACTTCAGAATATACAGTTCTGTAGTATTCACTAACTCACATTATTGTATAGCATGATGATCTGTAGAATTTGTTCATCTTGAAAAACTGAAACTTGGTACTCCCTGAACAGTATTTGCCTATTTCATTCTACCCCCAACCGCTAACAACCACAATTCTACTTTCTTCTATGAATTTGACTATTTAGATACTCATATAAGTGGAATCAAACAGTACCCTGCTTTTCAGAAGTTCAGTTTACACAAATTCCATTTTTCTGAAAAACCTACATTGCTCTTACCAAAGAAAAGTCAGCCTCTTTGCTTTACTACATTTTGGCTTTCAAAAAATTTCATAGGAACACTACTTTCAGATACCAGGGATACCTGTATTTGTCCTTTTGTCACTGGCTTATTTCACTTAGCATAATGCCCTCCAGATTCATCCATGTTGTAGCATGCAATAGGACTTACTTTAAGGCTAACTAAATATTCCATTGTATGTATATGCTATTTTTTTTATGTGTATACTACATTTTATTAATTTACTCATCCATTGATGGACATTTGGCTTGGTTCTACCTCTTGACTGTTGTGAATGATGCTGCAGTGAACAAGGGTGTGACAAAACTGTAGTGTCATTTGGTTCCTTTTGTATATCTGTGTTTATTGTTACCATGGGGATTACACATAACATCCTAAAGTCATGTGTAATTATGTGTAAAAATTATGTGTAATTAAAGTTATGTGAAACATCCTACAGAAATCTAATCTGGATTAATATCAACTTTAACTGCACAAAACCCTACTTCTGTATAGCTCCATTTCCCTTTTAAATAATACCAATCTCAAAAATTAATCTTTGTACATCAAATACTCAATAATGTGGACTTATAATTATTTGTGTGCATTTGTCTTTTAAATCTTGTAGAAAATGAAAGTAGAGTTAGAAACCAAAGTT